AAAGCAAGTTCTTTGGAATCAAGGAACAGATTCTCAGTTAGTGTAAACTGCCATAGCTTATTGATGTCAATTGACAGTTTTCACCAGCTGAGGATCTGCTCTCAGGACTCCTGGGAGCTATACTTGTTTCTGACACTAATTTGTTGTGCAGTGTAGGCAGATCATTTAACCATTCTGCCTCAGATAACACAGCTGTAAAATAGCTTGAATATTTACATACCTCAAAGGGCTTGTCATAAATATAAAGGGAAGGGTAAACACCTTTAAATCCCTCCCGGCCAGAGGAAAAACCCTTTGACCTGTAAAGGGTTAAGAAGCTAGGATAATCTCGCTGGCACCTCACCAAAATGACCAATGAGGAGACAAGATACTTTCAAAAGCTGGGGGGAAGGGAGAAACAAAGCCTCTCTCTCTGTCTGTGTGATGTTTTTGCTGGGGACAGAACAGGAATGGAGTCTTAGAACTTAGTAAGTAAGCTAGCTAGGTATGCATTAGATTCTGTTTGTTTAAATGGCTGAGAAAATAAGCTGTGCTGAATGGAATGGATATTCCTGTTTTTGTGTCTTTTTGTAACTTAAGGTTTTGCGTAGAGGGATTCTCTATGTTTTGAATCTAATTACCCTGTAAGGTATTTACCATCCTGATTTTACAGAGGTGATTCTTTTTACTTTTTTTTTTCTATTAAAATTCTTCTTTTAAGAAACTGAATGCTTTTTCATTGTTCTTAAGATCCAAGGGTTTGGGTCTGTGTTCACCTATGCAAATTGGTGAGGATTTTTATCAAACCTTCCCCAGGAAAGGGGATGTAAGATTTGGGAGGATTTTGGGGGGAAAGAAGCTTCCAAACGGACTTGTTCCCAGTAACTGGTGTTATACGTTTGGTGGTGGCAGCGAAAGTCCAAGGGCAAAAGGTAAAATAGTTTGTACCTTGGGGAAGTTTTAACCTAAGCTGGTAAAAGTAAGCTTAGGAGGTTTTCATGCAGGTCCCCACATCTGTACCCTAGAGTTCAGAGTGGGGAAGGAACCTTGACAGGGCTAATGACTATTTTAAAAGTACTCTGGTATTCTTTAATGTAAGACACAAGATAGGATTATATTAACTGAACAAAGCTGAACGTTATTGGTTTCCCAGCTTGCTAAGGGCTATGAGTTACTCGGACCCATATTCCCGATCCAGCCAAGGTGAGGAAGGTAAGGAGGGTTTGGGGCTGAATGTTACTTCACTTATCAAATTATTTTATGGGCAGACTTCCCAAAGGCTTGCAACTATTGAATTTCCCACATCTGAACTAGTGATTTGTCTCCTGTCATGGAGTATTGACCATGTGGTACTTTCTTCCCTCTTTGCTGGATGATGGAATGAACTCCAATGTTTTCTAATAACTGGCAGATCATGTTTGCTTCCCTATGGTGTAGATAATTGTGTAGATTTAATACATAATTCCAATGTATTCCTTTGCAATCTAACATTAATTAATGTCCACTCATGGTAGAATGGTGTGCATGTGCATATAATCTATTAGTGAGATCCGATTTGGTATAATATATATAGAGAAGAATCATAAGGGAATATTGAATCAATAGAAATGGGCCCAGATCAAAACCTATGATCCAAACACTCCAGAACTCCTAACTTAGAGGCTAAGGGTAGGGACTGAAATCAGAACCCAGATCCAGCTCTGAATTTTGCGGTTTAGACCCATCTCTAATTATCACTGATGTGCAAACCAAACAAGCTGAGTTCTTTTGAACTAAGTCTTATGCTGCTTGGTTTTAGGCATTTTGATTCAAGCAGTTTACAGCAAATCCAGCAAAGAAAAGTTTCATGTAGTGCTTTTATTACTTTTAGTATTTACTCATTATAAAATATGGCATGTATCTGTGTGGTAGCTTGTAAAAGCAATCACTGTATTTTTAAGATAGTTTTTCTGTTTCAGTACACACAATGATGCGGTTGTGAGTACAGAAAATTTGATTAGCACTTCTGCTAGAGACATGGATTATTTAGCTAGCCACTGCTCCTTACTGAAATGCCTGCAATATTATGCAGTATTGTGCACTGTATGCAATGGATGCATTGGATGGAGTGTACTTGAAATGCTGTGTGGAAGACAACTAAATAACTTGAGAATGGGGAAATACTAATATTTCATCTTCAAAGCACTTTAACATCCCTCTGAGATAGGCAGATGAGTATTATTATCCCCAGTTTACAGAAGAAGAAATTGAGACATTTAAATGTCACGACCAAAGCCAAAGAAGGAAGTCACTGTCAGAGGCAGGTTAGAACTAAGGAACAGTCCACCTCACTACTAATCCATGCATCTCAAAGTGAGAAAGTCACTAAAATTTAAGATGACAATTTATGATAGTTTTCCTTGTTTAGAACTTTTGTGGGGATCAGGGACTTCCATGTGAACAGTCCATTACAGAGGTAAGCACACAGTATGGTTAGGCTCTACCAGCCCCTATGTGTATGTCTACACAGCATTTTGGAGTGAGCCTCCAAGCCCAGATCGACAGACTTGGGCTATGTTAACACTCTCTAAAAGTAGCGGTATAGAGAGTGCTTTGAACTTGTGTCTTGGGATGGAGCTCAGGCTCTGAAGTCTATCCCCCTCCTTAGGCGACAAAACCCGAACTGCAACTTCAAAGTACTGTCTTACAGCTAAATTTAGAGCACTAATGTCTGTCGACCTGGGCTGGGAAGCTTGCTCCAAAATGCTATGCAGACATAACCTATGTGTTTTAGCTAAGTGCTTTTGTGACCTGCCAAAGATTACAAAGCTAGCAAAACAAACGAAAACCAGGTCACAAAGAGAGAAAATCCTTCAACAGCCTGCTCTGTTGAAAGAACAAAAGTTCATGCCAACAGAAAGTACACCCTCAATAAAATGTTATGCATGTTCTGTTTTAATTTCCCCCCAGACTGGAAATGTTCAGGGGTCTGCATCCCTTCAGATATGTGTTTATGTAGCTATAAAGCCACATTCAGAACAGGTGCCTCTTAGATGGTGTCATTAAGTGTGGGCTCAGTGGTGAACCAAGACGGGAAGTAACTTAAAGATGCTGAACCCTGGATGCCTTACTGAGAAACCTCCTGAATCCTCCTGGCTAGGTCATAGCACTGTTAGCTTGAGCACATCTGATGATTTTATCTGCTGTGGTATTACACAAGTTTGAAGTGGTTACAATTGTTTTGCAGTTTTAACCTCTCCACCGTAGCAGTGTATATCCAAATAGATTAAATGGTTATGTGTTTCTAAGAATATGCTGCCTTAAGGCATACACACTGGATTTTGCCTTATTTTGGACAACACTGAAGGTTTCTGTCCAAAGTGGTGGTTTGGAAGCTCTTGATAGCATGACAGGCCTGAACGCATGTCATTTCTCCTTCCTCATCACTGAAATAGAATATTTTCAAGGGTACTTGGGAGATACTGGGTTAAGAAAGCAACACGTTTTGTTCTTTAGGTTTCAGCTTGATTTGACTGGGAAAACCAAAGCATGAGAAGGTAACAACCGAGCAGGGCACATTTTCAAAGATATAGTAAATAAATCTGAATGCCAATAAATGGGATTCTTGCACATGTGTCTAGAGCATGAGTTTACTAACTGAATTGCCGTGCTTCTGAGGTGCTTTGCCGTGAACTAGTAGATGTAACTTCAGCAGAAGTATTGGTAGCTAAACAGTAAAAGGGTAATAATATATCCCATGTTGCTTTTTCTCTGGCACAACTGGAATAATTTATCTCTAAGTGTGCAAAACTCTGCAATATCTTTGAGGGCTAGCCAAATACACTTACTTTCACTTGCCTTAGCTGAATGCAATAAGCTAGTTTGAATCATGAACCTTAGGTCTGATGAAGTGATGAAAGAAAACTCCAAATGTCACCCAGTACCAGGCAATAACCTTTTCTTGCTTTTGACAATCCTAATTTACAGGACGCAGCTGTGTGGCTTGAAGGATATATTATATGATTTTGGGCTCATGTTTCTTATAGAATGTGTGATATTAGATCAGAGTATATTGCCCAGACTTTGGTAATAAATGTCTTCCATTTCAGATATTGTGTAGCTGTCACTGTGAATGTTTAAACTGATTTCATGCCAAACTCTGGAGATGTTGGGCATATTCCAAAATGTGTTATTTCTGTATTTTTATTATTTTTTAATTTGCCAGACTGCAAAAAGACCCCATGCTTTAGCCTCTGTAAGGTCAGTATAGGGTCCTTTCATGGCTGTGTTCCTCTGAGGCTTAGCATTCCTAGCATGAGTTGTGGAAAGCAGTATTAGTCCCTGTCTTACAGACTGACCCTGGGGCTAAAACGCCTCATTGCTAACTGTGTGGTCATTTTCCTTAGCCTGGATGAAGAATGTACCATGACTCAGAGTCGGTTTCTGAACCCTTGCTCTGGAGCCAGGTGTCTTAGTTTATGATCTAATTGAAGAAGTATAATTTGACTGCCCACAAGACATAAATGAGTCAAACTTGCAGACCTCAATAGTATATTTTTCCCCTCACATTTACATTTCATTACTGGTTGTTTTAGTGTTGACTCTTTTTGTCCATCCAAAGCATTTATTTTCATCAAGACTGCATGTGTACGCTAAGTTTTTTTTGATGAAAAAGAAGTTGATTTACAATGAAGATGGTTGGCCTGTGCCTCTCTTGTCTTTGGGACTTACGCAAACCCTGGGATCTGTGGCAAACACATTGACTGAATAAGGAGGTACCGGTAGGGATGAGTCATGAAAGGGTAAGCCAGGGGTAGGCAACCTATGGCACGTGAGCTGATTTTCAGCGGCACTCACACTGCCCGGGTCCTGGCCACCGGTCCGGCGGGGCTCTGCATTTTGATTTAATTTTAAATGAAGCTTCTTAAACCATTTTAAAAACCTTATTGACTTTACATACAACAATAGTTTAGTTATATATTAAAGACTTACAGAAAGAGACCTTCTAAAAACGTTAAAATGTATTACCTAGCACACGAAACCTTAAATTAGAGTGAATAAATGAAGACTCGGCACACCACTTCTGAAAGGTTGCTGACCCCGTGTTAAGCTACAGGTATGAGAACTAATGCAGCATTGCAGTTACTCAGATATCTGGGTTACTGACACACAAGCTGATTCTGAGTATCTTTGTCTCCTCATAGCTCTTTGGAAGAGGGAGCATGTTTTTTGCTCTGTGCTTGTACAGCACGGAGCACAGTGGGGTCCTCGTCAGTGACTAGAGCTCCTAGGTGCTACCACAATACAAGTTATCAATTCTCATCCTCACATCAGCGTGGATCAGTGACTGTGGCTAAGACCACTAGTTCACAGTGAAAGACAGAAAGAAAAAGAGCAGAATTAACTTTTAAGAAAAAAGAGAGAGAGGGGTAGATGCATGGAGACACGAATGCATAGGAAAAAAATGAAATCCTCTCCAGCACCGGTTGGTTTTCTTTCATGTGCTTTCTAGTGTTTGTTTTTTATATTGCGTCACATCTTCATATGGGTGTTGACTATGGAATACTCACAAAAGTGTTAATTTGTATAGCTGTCAGTGTCCTGCCCACAGGATAGTATCTGCTAATGAGAATTCATTCTGACCAGTTAACTCTTATAACCTGAGAGATTGCTGAGGTGCTCTGGTGGGCAGAGTCTCGTGGAACCAGGGAGAACTAGAATGCTTCTCTCCAGCTTGCTCCTGTCGTTTTTTATTAAGCTTGGCTGAATTCAGTTCATACTCTTTGATCAAGTCAGTTGTAGCTTTTTATAAATAGACTCTCTGAACTGTAATACTGTTATGTTCAACACAACTAAGTGTGAAAAGTATAAATCATTAAATAATCATGGGGGAGTGGTGGGGGGGACTAGAGATTTTGCTTTTTATAGGTGGTTTAAAAAATAAGTTAATTGGAAGCTTATGTGAAACATGATACAAATATATCCGCAGTTCTCAAACTGTGTTCCATGTAAGTGAAACAGCACTATCTCTCCTCCATATTTCTAGTTGCTTAATTTAATTTTTACATAGGTTAAAATACATTGAATATTTTCCTAATATTATTTTTGCCACAGGTATGTTATATGATCACAAATTGTGGGAAGAGAGGTGGCTCAGACATTCGCGAATGAGAGTGGAGAGAGATCCATGTGACAAAACTGACCTACAGCCTACACCATGGAAAAGTTGGAGAGTGTATATGATGCATGCCCCCCTTGAAATCAGAGGCAAAACTCCCATTGACCTTAGTGGGTCCAGGATTTCACCTGTAATAAGCATCAAATGTGATGCAAAGCATTTACCAGGAATGTAGAAGAAATGGTAGGATAGATCTATGGAAGATAATGGCCTAATGTGGTACACTGTAGATTTTGCTTCATTTAGGACTATACTGGAGATCTCTGTCCAAAGTGGAACAGTTCGGAAGGCTACCAAAAGGCTTGCAGAGCTGAGCTCATGTCAGTACCAAGACCATCCTCTCCACAGCATGACCTGCTTCTCCTCTGGCCCAAAGTTACTCTTGAACCTGATTTTTAGTGCTACAAGTACTCCTTTTCTTTTTGCGAATACAGACTAACACGGCTGTTACTCTGAAACCTGCCTATACTCAATGCGTCTTTATTAATAATAAACGTGCTGAACCCAATATTCAGACTATAACTCCCTGAATATCACCACTTTATTTTTTTAACTATATGCCGGGGTCAGTTTGAGAAGTTCAGATTTCATCCTTTCCAGCATGCGGGTTTCCAATATTTGTTCAGTGCAAAGCTGGAGACTGTACAAAGGAATCCCAGTGCAATAGCAACTCACAAACAATTTTCTAAAGCATCTTTAATGTACAGTGTTACTGTACCCAGCGGTGTAGGAGAGCACTATTAATGCAGGCACGATAGTTCTGAGTGTTCATAGGAGTCCTCAAGGAATAATAATCAGCTTGAAATAATAACCAACAAATTCTCCAGATGCTTTTTATCCACGTGTCGGCAACTGTGTTGATTCCAGATCAATGCAGAGTATTAAGACGTTTATATGATTGAGCTAAAAGGCTGCCAGGTTGTACAAGCATCAGGCTTGTATAAAATAGGAAAGCTGAGTAATGCCAATAGTACTCTATTCATAACTGCAGGGATGGAACATTTGGTAATATAAAAATACTGTCAGATGAGAGGTTTTGTTTTTAATTTATTACATTTACTGGGAGTTGGGGTGGGGGTGTTGGCAAGTCACTCGACCACCTGATCCACAGCATGGGAGTATTACACTGGTATAAAATTACAGTCACAGCCAGAATCCAGACAATGAGTCATGACTCTTTCCTTACAGAACACAAAGGCAAAGTCCTTGTTTCAGATGAAAGCCCACAATATGCTTGGGATAAAAACTGCTGGTTCTGACTCTCCTCCCATTTACATTTACCAGTGTATCTCCATGGACTTTGCTGAAGTCACCCCAGTTGTTATTTAAAATGACAGTGCTCCTTTGTGAGGGGAGGAACCAGCAGAACAATGAGGTAGGACTGAAGGGTAATGGCCATCATCTTGGCTGACACCAGGGATTAAACTCGGTACCTCTACAGCTAAAAGCATGAGCCTCTACAACTTGAGCAAGCCTCTTGAGGTGAGACACATGGCCTCTGTATATCAGGCATGCAGGGGAGGGAGGAACCTGTCACACACGCTGAGCTGGAGTACACATGAAGTATTGTGAGGGGAGTAGCCTGCAGGATTTGTAATGGTATTGGAAACCTTTTACATGTACTGTAGGTCACTGGTTCAAATCCAGCCCCAAATGGTGGTGGCTAAAATTTGACATTTCTTCATTGGTTTTTTGAGAAGTGGATTGACTGCCACAGGCCAGTCACAACCAGATGTGGGAGCTATCACAACGAACACTAGGTGTCCCCATTACTGGAAAGCTCAGCAGAGAGGTCAAGGATTGATGGGCCTAGGAGACTATATTATCCTGCTGTGTATATAGATGGTTGACTCTTTTTCAGCCTTTTCCTGGCTTTGTCGCTGATCAGTTGTATGACTTCGGGCAAGTCACTTCTCTCACTGTGCCTCTGTTTTCTGTACCATCCTTTGTCTGTCTCTTCTATTTAGACTGGAAACTCTTTGGAATAGAGGCTGGCTTTTACAGTGTGTTTGTACAGTGCCTAGCACAATGGGGGCTTGATCTGGCTGGGTCCTCTATATGCTACTGTAATAATACAAATAATAAAAAATAATAATTAGAGCTCTGCAAATCTGCAGGTATTGGCATCTGCAGATATACATGAGCCCCAAACTGGTGGATGAAGATATCTGCGGACCATGTTTGCGCATCGCGGATTGGATGAGAATCCTTTTTGTATCTGCACAAGGCTCTGACAATAATACCCCTCTCTCTCCTTCCAGCATCTGCTGTGTCTACCCCTAGGTAATATTTTTCTTTCTTTAAATGTCCATGATTGAGTCAGCACAAATAGGTGGTAACCTATGTAACCTCTTACCCTAGCAGGCCAGCAACTTCATTTAGCCCTGACAAGAAGATAGTAGTGGGGAGGTCTTTGAGAGCAGCTATGTCTGTAGCAGAGCTGTGAAAACTACCCACGTGAAACCATAAACCATCTAAAATTCACCTGGCTTTGAGTTTTGTAACTAACTGAAACCCCAGACCGAGCATTTGATCCCAAGCCCATTGAAATGAGTGGGAGACTTTCCATGGGTTCAAGTGAGCTTTGGATCAGGCCATGTTCCTTGAAGGACTCCCAGACCTTTTGAGTGAATGGAGGCCTATTTAACTGTTTGCATCCAAACCAAGTGTATTTCGCTTTCACGTGGTTCCAAAGGAAAACCAGCTGAAACTTAGCCAAGTTTTGGCTGAGTTTCGGAACCCAAAACTTTGGGAATGTGAACCCCGTCCCCACCCCCATTTGAAATGAAAGCAGATATTTGCATGGAATGCTGAGAAGTGAAATCACCAAGCTTTGCGCAGCTGTAGTCCCCAGGACTCTTTGTGGGAAGAAAAGGGGGGTGAGGAAAGGGTGGGAGGTGTATATAAAGACGCTTGACGTTCTACTTGTATGTATGAGAGTGCTACAATATTAATCTGCTTCCTCAGGAGCTTGTTATGTGCCACCAGTAAACTTATTTACTTTGGCAAGCTACCTGTGAGCAGTCAGAACTTGAAAGGGATGTGATCAAGTAGGTTAGGTTAGTAGGTTTTAAAATGACCAAATGTAAAAATGTAATCACAGGGGAATGTACTCTAGAGCCTAAACAAATGCTTGGAAGGGTGAGGGTGTTGATTTTTTTTATTTTTTGGCTTGGTGTTTGGGGCTAGATTTTTTTCAAAAGAGCTCAGCACCCAATGTAGTGAGGTTTTTAAAAATCTAGCTGTAAGTGTCATGGGGTGAGTAACTGTGTACTGAGCACTTTTGAAAATCTGGCCTTCATTTAGGTGCCTAAATGCAGGTTGAGCTCTTTGGAAAACCTGGCTGTAATTGTGGGTGGTGAGCCCTTGGAAAACTGGCTGTAAGTCTCTTTGAAAATCTGGCCTCTGGTGACGGCTGGTAAAAATACACAGAGGGATTTTGCAAGTACATAGAGAAGCCTTGGCTCACTATTATTCTTGAGGTCATTGTATGTAGTTCAGAAGTATTCAGATGGCTTCTGGGCATTCACAAAAATGTTTTCAAGGCCTGAAATGTCACAAACTTTATCTCAAATGACGCTACAACCGAAAACATAGTTCACAATTTGTTATTTGTTCTTCCAATTTGAAAAAGTTTCCCATCCAGTTAGGGGAGCTAAAGAAATATGCCATGTAATTTGGGTGATCAGTCACACATTTTAATTGATTCTGCACTGGAAATAAAAAGAAAGTAATGTTGATCAGATGCATGAGACAAATACAAGTTTTGGGGGAGGGGAGTTTATTTTTAAGGCTTATATGAAGGTATTCCAATCAGTGGAAATACATTACTTTAAAAAGTTGATGATATATTCTCTTAAGAGCTACCATGCTACACAATATTGTTGAAATAGTCTGTTTTCTGAGAGAAGTCTTTTTCATGCACAGG